TGCAGACCCCTAATGTTTCTCCTATACCCTAGAATAATAAACCCAAACCCCTAAACCCCTAAACCCTAAACCCCTAAATCCCCTTATTTTACATAGGGTTTATGCTTAGGGTCTAGGGATTGCAATTATTATAACCCTAAATCCCTTATTAACCCTTTAGGCCTCCAACCCTGCTGACAAAGATGCCAAGCGCCAATCCTGAAACAACCAGCCCCCAAGATCTAAATCCTGAACCCAAATAACCCTAAACCCCTAAACCCCTAAACCCTAAACCCCTAAATCCCCTTATTATACATAGGGTTTATGCTTAGGGTCTAGGGATTGCAATTATTATAACCCTTTAAATCCCTTATTAACCCTTTAGGCCTCCAACCCTGCTGACAAAGATGCCAAGCGCCAATCCTGAAACAACCAGCCCCCAAGATCTAAATCCTGAACCCTAAATCCCACAGCCTTGGCCTCAGAATCTGAAGCCCAAACCATTGCAATCCCAATCGTATTTTAACCCCAAAACCCTAAAGCCCAAAACCTCAAAGTTCTTGATGTTATTGTAGTCCCTGGCTCTCTGATTTTTATTCTGTTCCTCTGATCAACCTGACAACCGTAACCCTAGCCTAGAAATATAATTCCGTGCCTAAGTGAGTGACTGGCTCCCGGGACACCACAATAAATAATAAGAGCGCCAAACCTGAAAGAATCAGCTTTAAGTCCAACCCTAAACCCTTAAGCTCGTTAGGCCTCAAACCCTGCTGACAGGGGAAGGACAAGAAAGAAGGTGGGCCAGAAGAAGCCGAGGAGCCCGAAGAAGAGGTGCCGGACGAGCAGGCCCACCTGAAGGCGTGCGTTCATGGATTACAGTCTTAGGGTGTGGGGGTTTAGGGTGTGGGGCTTGTTTATGGTTTATGGGTTTGGGGGGTGAGGGTTTAGGGGTTTGGGTTCAATTATGTGGCATGCACTGGTCTTCTGTCTTCAAGAGATTCGAAGTGTCATTGCCCCCGTTGATGCAGGCTTTACTCTCAAGCACAGTACACAGACTGGCTTTGTCCGATTTTAGATAGGACAGCGGGCAATGATGGGCAGCAGTGATGGTGATCGCTCAGCTTCTCCGCCCCTTCGTGGGCCGGTTGAGACACCGAAGCGGCCGAAGAAGATGGCATATGGGTCAGAAGCATCCTTTGATCTATCCTCCCCCAGCACCCCTGTTTCGCTCTCATCGTCGGCGTGCTTTGTCGAGATTTGTGGGGATACGAAGCCGAAGGTACAGCGACGTCCTGCAGCCAAGGCGAAGTCCCAGCCCATGAAATCTTCTAAGGGAAGCATCAAGAAAGGCAAGCCGGCGGCCAATGTCAACAAGGGCAAGATCAAGAAGGAGAAAAGAGTCATGATCAAGAAGCGACCCGCAGCTATTCAGCCGTAGTGACAAGCTGGCAAGACAGTAGCAACTCTGATGCCACTGGAGAAGAAAACAAAGTTCGAGTGGTGCCTCTCTCAAGTTACAGCGTTTCTTTGGATCGCAAACCTCTCAGTCTCACCCGCTCTCTCTCTCTCTGTCTACATCTCTGACACTATGTGTTGTTGAACCCAGGCAGCATCTAGCCCAAAACATAAACCCAGCCTCTTTAAACCCTGAGCCCCTAAACCTTGAATTTTAAAGCAGTCTTTACGTGTTCTCTACTGCCTTGCTGTAAAGGGTTCAGGGCTGTGGGACTTCGAAGGCCGGGGATTCAGCTCAAGCCATGGTTTGTAATAATAAGGGTTAAAGAATAAACCAGTTTAAAAGGACTTAGTAAATTAAAACACATGCTGACTCTATCCTAATCATCCCTGAGTGAATCCTGACCTGACCCTCACACTGATGGCTAGGTCAAAGCTGATGGCTCTGGAAAGTCGAAGCCTGTGCCCTCCCTGGATGATGAGAACACTCGAAAGTTGGCCATGCAACCTGGCATTATAATGTAGCACTGCACGAGCCTAAACCTAAAGCCCGTAGAATAACAGACAGTGCAGCCCAGGTACAGGGAGAAGGCGGTGAAGACTGTGCGCACCCACGTCCTCCTCGTCACAGAACAGCTGAAAACGGAAGAGATGCAAAAGGAACTGCGAAAGACGAATGCTTCAGAGTTCCGTGGCGAGACATTGCAAAGCATACATGAGAGACTCGGTGAGTATTAAATGCTAAGCCTGTTGTCTTAAGTGTAGCAAGCATCTTTCACACTATAAAACACCATGCACGACAAGGACTGTGATTACGAAGTCCTTTGTGATCTGGTTTGAGCCTTGGCCTTTGATTTAATGTGAATTTGAAGGTTAAGGGTTCAAGGTTGGGTTTCAAGGGCTTTGGGCTTATTCAGTACTGCCTGACCTAGGATAGCAAAGTGGCGGGCGAGGCTGAGACCCAGCCCAATGTCCGAGTACCATCCCTACGGGACGGCCGCCTCCCGAAGCTGATGAGCGCGGCCCTCGCGCAACGCCTGGTGGGCGGCAGCCTGCCAGCCTCCGATATCATTGTGATGATGGATGGGGGCCGTGAAGGCAGGATTGATATTGGGTCTAACATTTTGGGTGTCGGGGTGTTAGCCCTAAACCTAAACCCTAAACTTTAACAGATTTGGCTGGCCAGGAATCCAAGCAGCCCTGCTTAACAGCATCAAATCCGCCGACGGTGAAGCAGCGCCGAAAGCAAAAACGTCAATCATTTTGCATCATGATGAGAAGTCCCACCGGCAGCGACGGCAGAGGGACAAGGGCCATGTGATGCAGAATGCAGAGAAGTGCTTCCTCATCACGTCGGATGAGGGAGCGGTGATTCCTTACAGGGATCGGCTCTACTATCCTTCGACAACCCGCGGGGAAGTCATGGGACCCATTCCTGCAGCAAGCTGGGAAGCACCTTACCTTAATTTGGAGGTTTGCCTGAGCTGCCAAATCAAACTTGAAGCCTTTGTCATTGTCGTGACCTGGCTAAGTAAACCCTAAACCCTAAACCCTAAACCCTAAACCCCTAAACCCTAAACCCTAAACCCTAAACCGGCTAAGGATGAGGAGGAGTCCTGGTTGGTGACCGTTCAGGCGAAAAAGAAAATGTATGGCAGTCAAAGGATTCCGATTGGGGGCCGTTCTGATGGAGATGAGAAGGGCAAGAGCCATGGCCTTACAGACCACTGTGACACTTCGCACTTTATTACTTCGAGAGAAAGAAATTAATTTGAGTGTGCATTCGTGCTAAGTCCGGCGTGCAGACACAGACATCGAGCCGATGTCGTTCCACTCCATGCCGCTGCAAGCGGCTTCTTACTTGGATACAGTCACATCCCTGAATCTGAACCCATTGACATGTAACCTTTGATATAAAAGACCTGAAGCTGTGCCCTCAACCCCTAAATTTCGAGAAAACCCTTGAATCCCTAAATTTAACACTCCAAAATTTTAAAGCCTGAGCCCCCCAATGTCTCTCGAAGTTATAAAGCTTCTAAAACCCCGAACCCCCCAAACCCGTAAGACCCCAAATTCTCTAACCCAATTGCCCTTGAAACCCCAAGCGGCCCTAAAACCCTGAAGCCCTAAACCCCAAAGCTCAAAGGGCTGAGGCTCCGGGCTAGGCTTCTTCAGGGGCATTTATTTAGGGTTCAGGGCTTAGAGTTTGACTCAAAACACAGAGCTATGACGATTCATCAAAGTTAAAGCCATCCAAGGTTGACGAGCTCCTCCATGACACGAATGCTGCGTTCATTCTTGATCTTTCTGTGTGTGGCCTGGCATTTTAATTAGAATTCTAACACATGGGTATATAATATATATGATCACAATGTTGCTGGTCCTGGAACGGCTCAATCAATTGATTAATTGTGGAGGCGATGGTAAAACTGCCATTGTGGCGATCCGGAGGAGATGCTCTTTCGTTGGCGTCTGCTTTACGGACGAGCACAAGCAAAGCCTGTATCAACGGCTGGAGTCCGTTGTCTTCACAGACATGCAGACTCCAGACTCGGTTCTTTTCGAGCCCGGGCTTCTCGCAGTGCTGGGCAAGAAGGGCAAGCGCAAGGCAATGTCGTTCTGCCTAGGGCCTGAATCTGAAGATTTACTTGGCAATTGAATCCATCTGTCAGGCAGAGCCAAAGAAAAAGGGCAAGGACCCCAAAAAGCCAAAAAAGGACGAAGATGAGGATGAACAGGAAGATCAGGAGGAAGAGGATGAAGAAGAGGAGGATGAAGACTTGGGGTCGGCCCAAGAGGGCGAAGACGATGAGGAGGAAGATGATGAAGAGCAGGATGAGGAAGACGATGAAGCACCCAAGAGGGGCAGGGGCCGGGGCCGGGGCCGTGGACGGGGTGGCAGGGGCGGTCGTGCGGGTGCCAAGCCCGAGCCAAAGAAGAAAGGAAGCGGACGTGGTGGAAAAGGCAAGAAGCCAAAGGCTGGTAATTTGCAGTTGCTTTGTTGATTGAAAAGTGTGTTCATGTAGGTTTCAGGCTGTTGAGACTGTACTTCAGTTGATTGTAATGATCCATGAATGACTGGGATGATGTGGCCAGGACAGCATTCTGAAGAAGCTGGGAGCCCTGAGCTAGAGAGCCTTTCAATGCAGGCAGATTTTGGGTCGCCTCCGATTTTGTATGGACATGGGGGCTAGGGCGGCTAGGAATGATGATGACCAGGAGGTCTGATGACATCATGATGGCAGGGTCAAGGGCACGAGTCCGCATGCTATTCCAGCTTCAACAGTCTGTTTCATTCATCGGTTCTTCTGTGGCTCTTAGGTTTTGACATTGGTTATTACTGTTTTCACGTGACCGGACTCAGACCAATCATTATCGCCGAGCCCCAAAGTCTTAAACCCTTAAACCCTGAACTATCTTATAACCATTATGTCATAGTGTGGTGTCTGCAAGTGCGCCTTGACTGCCATCGGCCAAAAGCGGCCAGAAGCTGCCAGGAGCAACCTTGTGCGAGATTCTCGCGCTTTTCAAAAAGTGTTAACAGTAACAAGCCTTTTCATAAGCCGGAAACCCTAGGCCCTAAACATAAACCCTAAGAGCTAAATAATCCTTATAATAATTGAATAACCCTAAGCCCTTAACCCGAGGCATTTAAACCCTTATTATTATTAATTAAAATAGTATAAACCCCAAGCTAAACTCTAAGCCCTCTAAGCCCTAAACCCTAAGCCCTAAACCCAGCCTTGTATTAAATTATAGACCCGACTAAGCCATTTGAAAATTAAACCCTTAGCCCTCAAACCCTAGGCCTTAAAGCCCTATACTACAATAAACCCTAAGTTTCAAGCTTAAGCCCTAAATCCCTCGATCCCTAAGCCCTATGATAAGAGGGTTTAGGGAAGACTGCAACACAGTCAGCCCGATGACATGAGCTTCACCTTTTACCAGGACTGGGCTTGGCTTTACGTGTTTTGTTTGAGTGCCTTTGAATTTGGGTGTCTGCTAAGGGTAATATAGGTTTTGAAAGATGTTTGCGAGTCAAGGTTTCCGGATACTTAGGGTTTAGGGCTTTGGGTTGGGGATATATGTAGGTTTACGGATTCCAAATGAAGATTGTTGAGGGTTTCAAGTTAGACTTGGACCACGATGTTTTACGTCTTAAACGTCAAGAAGACTGATGTATGCCGGGCATCTCAAACGCATCGAGAAGCAATGTCCCTGTAGTAGTCAACAACCTGAACCTCAAAATCGTTCAATCCTTCAGCCTTAATACCTGAAGGGCATTGATGAAATCCTTATTAGCCCTATTAAAATTAACCCTAAACTGCCCTTTAAACCGTGGACCCTCTTCAGTCTTCAGAATAATAACCTTTTGACAATAATTATTTCTTTAACTTATGTTGTAGCAGTAGTCAGTAGTCGTAGTAGCAGCAGTTAGTCGTCGTAGTTAATAATAGCAGAATTAAAAGTAGCAGTGGAAGCAGCAGTTGTAGCAGTACTAAAAGCCTTGTTTTGTGATGTCGTGCCCACCACCGCCCTTGCTGCCTGAAAGCGTCTCCCAAAATATGGATCGCCGCTTGGTAAAGCGGCTGCTATTTATCGAGTCCGTGAAAAGCACGCATGGGTACCAGTTCCTGCGAAAACAGAATTGGGCTTCGATGGCTGTATCGCCTCCAGTCACGCCTCGGTGTGCAGTGGAGTCTACAAAAAAAATCCGCGAGCGGGAGACCTATGTCTGGAAGTCAAAGATCAAGTTTATGTACGCAGCGCTCACAACACCGTGGTGGAAACTCAAGGTGGACATGGCCAAAGATTTGTATGTCTAGACGTGGCAGGCACAGACGAATTCTTGAATTCGTCGAATCCAGGATAATGTCTGCATATGCAAGGCAAGGCACCAATTTGTAATTCGCCTAGTCTGACCCAGGCACTTGTGGAGAACAAACAGATCGTGACTCGCGCGACGCTAACTGTGTTTAAAGTAGTGGTAACAACAGATCCAGCAGTGTAGCAGCTGCAGCAGGAGTAGCTAGACTAGTAGCCCTACTGACTAACTAGTGTAGTAGTTAGCAGTAGTAGTAGTAAGTAGTAGTAGTAGTAGTAGTAGTAGTAGTAGTAGTAGTAGTAGTAATAAGTAGTAGTAGTAGTAGTAGTAGTAGTAGTAGTTTAGTAGTAGTATTAGTAGTACTAGTAGTATTAAAAATTAAGTAGTAGTAGCCTGCTGCTGCATGTGTGTTTGGTTCTGCATGGATGCTCTGGTGTTTGCCGGCATGGATGCTGTGGTCGTGTGTTTTCCCTACCAACGGGGACTTTCGGGCTCTTCACAAGTCTCTGCGCACGGGCTGGCCGCCGTGTGGGGTGCAGGTCCGGCTTGAAAGCGCATGGGGTGTTGAGGCCAACTCGCAACGAGCCCGATGCGAATGACAGCGAGACGATGAGCTAATGTGCTCGCTGGCACCCTTGCTTATCTGGAGGCTTTGGGTCCTATCTCATGGGGGCAGGGCCCACCCCATGACTATGGCCCTCTGCCGATAGACCGGAGTATCGTGCTGGTGGGAGGCCGTTCCTTTGGACCCATTCTTGTTGCATGGCATGTGTCGGCTGCTCTTCTGTAGTAGTATTTAATAGTTAAATTAGGAGTAGTAGTAGTAGCAGGAGGAGTAGTAGTATAGTAGTTGTATAGTAGTACTTAGTCGTACGACTAGTAGTAGTATAGTAGTAGTAGTAGTAGTAGTAGTAGTAGTAGTAGTAGTAGTAGTCTAGTAAGTAGTTAGTATTAAATAGTAGTAGTAGTAGTAGTAGTAGTAGTAGTAGTAGTAGCTTAGTAGTAGTAGTAGTAGTAGTCGTCGTCGTCGTTGTTGTTGTTGTGTAGTAGTGACTTATTATAACCCCACTTATACCCATGAACCTCCAAGCAGAACTTGCAGCTGAGAAGCCGGATGGCTTTCCGAAACCTTCGGATGAAGACGGAGGTGAGGCTTAAACCCTAGGGCCTAAGTATAATCCCTAAGCCTATTATTTAAACCCTAAGCCTTACAGTTACATTGCATATTTAAAAAATAATACCCTAGCTTTAAAATTCCTATTATTATTATATATTAACATCCCGAGCCCCAAACTGCAGAGGTTCTCCAATGCGGCTGAGGCAATCCTTAGAACATGCACCCCAACCCTTTAAAACCCTAAGCCCTAAACCCTTTGACCCTACAGGCCCTTCATCCCGAGCCGCAAACTGCAGAGGTTCTCCAATGCGGCTGAGGCAATCCTTAGAACATGCACCCCAACCCTTTAAAACCCTAAGCCCTAAACCCTTTGACCCTACAGGCCCTTCATCCCGAGCCCCAAACTGCAGAGGTTGTCTCTGATGCGGCCGAGGCAATCCTTACAACATACACCCCAGCCCTAGACCCTAAACCCAAATTCTGCAGTGGCCTTGTTGTGGATCCACTAGATAGATCCAAATGACCCGAACAACTAAACCCTAAACCCCCTCACTTTGAAGTCAAGTGGTCGATGCGGTGCGACCAGCAGCAGCAGCAGGCTGCAGGACGACCATGACAATGATTGCCCGGGCAATGCAGAGTTTAAGGGTTCAGGGTGTAGGGTTTATTATAGGATGATTTAGGCTTGTGTGGTAATACAGGTCTTGTCCTGGTAGAGGCTACAGTACAGTTATTCAGCCATGCCTCCGGTGCAAGTCCTGAAGCTGGCTTCCGAATGTGCTGGCCTGGAGCCACTTTGCGTCTGCTGTGAGTTCAGTGCTCAGTTGTTATGAGATGACCTTACCATAACAGATACTTCAAACCCACATGTTAATGCTGTAACTTGCGGAGCCACGCATCATTGCAGGTTGGCAGGATTGCAATCGCAGTTGGTATATGCCTCTGAATGCGACCGGCCGCTACGTCATCGTATCGAGGATTTGCACAAGCCGGCTATGATGTCGGCTGATGCTCTGATGGATGTGAGACGCTTGCTCTCTAGGGTTCAGGGTTTAGGGCCTAAGTGTTTTTTATACTTGGTTGGTTGTTTCTTAGGACTGTGGTTTCGGTGAGCCCTAGACTAAGGCATCAAGAATCCCATTCATATCTATGGAGCCGGTGCCCCCTGCCAGCCATTCGCAAACATTGGCAAGAAACTTGGAAAGAAAGATCCTCGCTCCCGTGTCTTGAAGAAGGCCACATATAAGATTTGTCGTGTCGGATTCTAAGTCTAGCTAGAGTTAGTGTCAACATGTCGTGCGCGCAGGCTGTGGACAGGATCTCTATCTTGAAACCCCAAAGTTTTATCCTGGAAAATGTGGCTGCCCTTGCAAGCAGTCGCCACAATGATTTCCTCGAGTCACTTTTGAGACAGCCACTCGTCTGCAAAACCCAAGACTTAACAAGGTCTCGTTTCAACGACGGAAGACCCTTAGCTTCAACGCTCATTCTTTATGATGCTGAGGTTGAATAAGACTGGGCTCTACACGATCACGTGCAAGGCCTCCTGGTTTGGATTTAGGGGCGGCCTCGTCATTTGGAGTTGGGGACTGTTTCGGGTTTTAGGTTGAGGGTGTAGGGGTTTAGGGTTTAGGGGTTTAGGGTTTAGGGTTTAGGGTTTAGGGTTTAGGGTTTAAGGTTTGGTCACAGAACATTGTCAACTGGCAGGTGCTGAATGCGTGCAACTTCAACCTGCCTCAGAGTCGTCGTCGGCTATGGATAGTGGGATACAAGAAAAAGATTGCTGCCGAGCGTGCCCTGACCTTGATTTCATAATTCAAAACATAGCAAGTTCAATATCAGTATATTACTGCATGACTCAGGACGCTTCACATGGCCCGCGGGTTCCACGAAGAAGCGCAAGCTTTCGAGCATTTTGCTCAGGCGGCTGCTAAGCTATTTGATTGTCACTCAGCAGAACCGTTGTTCATCATTCTTGTGCCCCTGGAAGGAAGTCGTGCCGGAAGAACCCCGACTTCCCTTGCTCCAAGACAGGGAAGAGGAATCTCGCATTGGGGCTCAAAGCCT